TATATATATATATATATATATATATATATATATATATATATATATATATACTGTCTGTCTGTCTGTCTGTCTGTCTCTACAGTATTTAACAAATGATATATCCAATTCTTTGTTGTAAGCAATCATCTTTGGTATTTGATATTATTTGGTGTTAAGATTATTATATAAACCTTTTGAGGATATAGAGATACACATATGTGCACATCTTTCCAGCTACGAGGTGGCAGTTCCTCTGTGCAAACAAGCACTGGAGGACCTTGAGAAGACCTCTGGACATGACCATCCTGATGTGGCAACTATGCTCAATATCCTGGCTCTTGTCTACAGGTAAACATAAAGGATATGGAATGTCTCTCCCCTTTCAGTTGTTGGTCTTTTCATTTTTGTCTAAACGAAGTTGGATAATGAGTAATGTTTTACAAAACATGGCCTAGGCAAAGAAAAGAAATAAAAGAATTTTAATTTTGTGTATTGGGAATACATGATTTTTCTATCCATTTGACCTGGATTGAAGAAAAAGTATACATAGATAGAATTGCATATAAAAACATTCACATCTTTTCTGCAGGGACCAGAATAAATACAAAGAGGCAGCGAGGAAAACCTGCGCTCGCCATCCGAGAGAAGACCTTGGGAGAGAACCACCCTGCAGTCGCAGCCACCCTAAATAACCTAGCTGTAAGTATATATGTATTATTTTTGTGGTGAGTTTACCTTTTAGGAAATGACATGAGTCAGGGTGGGCCATACTAAAGCTAAAGTTTGTAGTGTTGTATGATAGTTAAAAAATCTTTTAGTTGATTATCTTAGTGTTTTTGGAGTAAGCATTTTTTACCTGCCCCACAGGTGTTATATGGGAAGCGAGGCAAATACAAGGAGGCCGAGCCTCTGTGCAAGAGAGCCCTGGAAATCCGCGAAAAGGTGTTAGGCGCGCCACGACCCTGATGTGGCCAAGCAACTCAACAACTTAGCCTTACTTTGTCAGAACCAGGTAGATATATATGGATGCAAATACGTCGTGTCAAGGAAGTATGTGAAGACACGCACTATATACACTGCACTCTAGCTGGCTCTGTGCTTGGCTAGTTGACTGCTGCTGTTGTTCCTAGAATGCAATGTTTTTTTGTTTGTTTTTTTTTGCTCTTTTTTAATGTTTTTTCCCCTCTAGTTGAATTAATGATTTGACCAACCCATGATTGAGCACAATGCATCAATTCTCTTTTGTTGATATTAACATCATGTTATAGCTTGACCCCTTATTGTTGATTGATAGATGTGCAATATGAAGTGCATGGACAAGATTTAAAGCAAAGTATGTACACTGCTAGAGAGTCATTTGTGTATTATATATTTTGTTACCAGGTTGATTGTGCAAAGCATTTGGATATTTGGATTAAGTAATCTTTTAAGAACTTAAAATGGTCATACTTAGTTACTATTTATCTGTCTGTATGAATGTACACATGCACACAACCACACCCACCACACCCACACCCACATGCACACCACACACACACCACACCACATGCCACACCCACACCCACACCACACACACCACACCCACACCACACCACACCACACCCACACCCACACCTACACCCCACCCCACACCCACCACACCCACACACACCACACCCACACCACACCACATACACCTACACCTACACCTACACCACCACCACACCACACCCCACCCACACCACACCCACACTACACCAACCCACACCCACACACACCACACACACACCACAGCACACCCACACCCCACATGCACACCTACACGCACACAATACACCGTCACCAACACCACACACATACACATAGAGAGGAAGATATAATTGTAAATAATTAGATTAGATTTACAGATTAATGAAATTCTTTTTTATTTTTTTAAATTTTAGCCTCACTGCATGATGGCTTGCTAAATCATCCTCTAAAGACTACTACTTTTATTAATAGATTGTTATTATTATTTTTTTTTACTTATGTTTTAAACGTTTTCTTGTGCAGTTATTATTTGTAGTAATACGCTAGATTACCCCCCCCCCCTCCCACCTCACCTTACCTTACCTTTGAATGTAATGTGCAAGTTGTTAATTAACCTGAGTTTGATGCCAGGGGGGGGAACCACAGCCCTCTCACCTCTGCCCTTTTGAGTAACGGAGTTAGAGAGGTGATATCAGGTTGGCGTAGTAACCCTGGTGTGTAAGCAGAGGAGTCTGTTGTATTGGCCAGATTTTTTTTTTTTTTTTTTTTTTTTTTTTTTTTTTTTTTTTTTTTTTTTTTTTTTACTTGTTATTCTTGTCCATAGTTTCCGTTATGAGACTAAAGAAATAAAGAACAAGAGGGAAAAAAAAAACGTAATTTAGTTTTATTCTATTGGAAATAGTTTGTTTTGAGTTTTAACACAGTGGTACTATTTTCTTTTATTTTTATTGGTATAGATTAAGAGAGAAACTTTAGTTTCAGTTAGAGATAAATGATATAGTGATAAGACAGT